ATGTAAACGATATAACACTATTAAAATTTTTTAGACTTTCAATAGCAACTTGTTTTCTTTTGTTATATAATTTTATAGTATCTGAACGAAGAGTATTTCTACAATAAGAAGAATACTTGGGTTGGAGATATTTCTGCACGAGCCGGGTAAAGTGTATTGAGTCTATCATCGTAAGCAACATCTCTGCTGCAATTATATATGCAACCATTCCTTTACGAAATATTTCCTATGAATATACAAAGGTGGAAAGAGTAGAACAAGAACCGTAAAAAACTAGTTCGGTTTGTTTCGAGTCGAGATCAACTGGTTTCGCTTCGCAACTCCTTAATATGTGTCTATTCAAATGTGTTGTGCTCGAATCGGACTTCCAACTAAGTTTTTTGTGACAGTAATTGCAACATGCTTTCCAAATATCCACTCCATTTTGAACACCAACTTTTTTACGTGTCATATGTTGCCAACAATCTGATGATTCTTTTTTTGACCTTTTAATTTTGAGTACTTCTTCCTCATCAATATTCTCCAAATCAATTGGAATATTTTGAGATGCATCGTCGTAACCGGATGGAGTACTCGAACTATCCTTAAACTGATTAAATTATTCACTAATAAAATTCATCTATAACTAATATAGTATAAAATACAGAATAATAGAGTATGACTGTATGAGAGTGAAAGAAATTGAATATGAGATTGAGAGCAAAAAAATTAGAGTAGAAACTTGAATTTATAATACTGCAAGTTAAAATCAATTGAAACAAATTGATTGGAAACTAAAAAATTTTCCTCGTATTTATAGTCAACAAAATCAATTTTACCTCCAAATTTGAAATTTGAATTTGAAATATCAACGGACCTCGCAAATTAAATTTCATCAATAAAAAGAAAGTAGTAGCCTAGTAGGTGCTGCCTTAAGGCAGCATTTGGTGCCTCGTTACAGGCAGCTATAAAGCTGCCTAAAGGCAGTAACATCTGCTGCTGTCGTTACAGGCAGGCCCGTGACATGAGCCGGCCTGTTGTGGCTTAGCGAGCCACACGGGCCAGCCGAGCCTAGGCTCATTCCATCCGAGCCACGAGCTGCCCGAATTACCAAGCCAATTTGACATCCCTACTTATACAAAACACTATTTTAAAACGTTTTTATATGAGTAATGTATAACTATTGATATTACCTATGGTTGTTTGATTGCTTCATGTGAAAAAAAATATCAATTTCGTCCACTTGAAGATAGAGAAAGTGTTCTTGGCCCTGAAGTATCATATATAGGTACAATTGGAGCACTAACTTATTTTGCAAACTGCACTTGCCCTTTCATAACTTTTTCTATAAATCTCCTTACAAGATACATTTCTATAAAAAGACATTGGTATGGTGTTAAACACATTTTTCGTTACCTGAAAGATATTATTGATTTTGAATTATTTTATTCTCAAAAGTCAGGATCTATTTTTGTGAGATATGCAGATGCAGGTTATCTCTTAGAACTACATAAAGCTAAATTACAAACAAAATATGTTTTTATATGTAGATGAACAGTTATAGCATGATGATCTGTGAAGCAATAACTGACAGCAATATCTTCAAAATGTTTTGAAATTATTACAATTCATAAAGCAGGCAGAAAATGTATATGGTTGAGAAACGTGACCCTTCATATTCAAAAATCATATGAATTAACTTCAACAAAAGCTAGTTCAACAATTTTATATAAAAACAATACAGTTTGTATTACACAACTCAAAGGAATATATATCAAATGTGATGGGATGAAGCATATTTCTCCAAAATTCTTTCATACACATAAGTTTCAGAAGGATGGCGACATCGTTATTCAACAAATTTGATAAAGTGACTATATGACCGATTTATTTACAAAGGCACTACTGACATCTACATTCAAGAAATTGTTTTATGAGATTGGAATGCGTCGACACAAATATTTTCAGTTATCAAAATCAAGGGAAGTAGATGTACTCTTTTTACTTCGCTTAGATCTTATCACACTGGATTTTTCTAGCAATATTTTAATGAGACGGCCTTTATTTTTAATACTACAAAATACCTATACCCATTTTCCTTCGTTTGATTTTTTTATCTCTTTGAATTTTTATTAAATAAGGTTTTAACGAGGCAGATATTTTGTAATGTGTGATTCAAGGACAATGTTATAAATGGTAAGTTTATTAGTGAATGACAAATCCCAAAGTGGATGATTGACTCATTCCAGACTAGAAATAATGACAGGATATCCTTTGATAACGACGTTCCTCAGTAATATCATCATGACTCTCGAAGTCATGTACGGTAGCAATATGGAACTTGGGTGTGGGTCTTTGGAATGACTTTTTCTTTTTATTTATTATCACAAAAATTCACAGGGTAAGGAAGAAGGGGGGAACAAATACACTTGAAGAGCGTAGCACCCCTACAGCCTTAAAAATTATTATCATTGTATCATTGATTATTCCCTATAAATATAGGATTTGGTTTCTAATAAAACACACAAGTATATAGACTTACTCTCTCCTCTTTTTCTATATTTTCATAATAAACTCCCTATTATTTTAATTTTCAACACATTCCAAATTATAAAAGAGAAACATTGTCGATATCAAAAAATGTATCCCTGATGTGTCAATAGATTTCAAGGCATCTCATGTCCACGCAAGCCTTGTTCTTGCACATTAGGACAAACCATTTGCTACATGCGGCCTTCTTTGGTGGAGGTGGAGCCAGCCGTGAGCACTTCGACGGTCAAGTTAGCCTTGAGAGAACAAATATATGTGTGTAAGGGAGCTTTGAAGGTGAGCCTTCAAGATAAAGGGGATCGACTTTGGGAGTAATATATAGAATAAAGAAAACAAAGTTATACTATGGAAGTCTAAACTTGCATTACTCTAAAATAATACCAAGTGTGAATTTTTATAGTGTAGGAGAATGAGTAAGGACCGTCGAATGAAAAGACGCATAGCCTCATCCATACGATTGAAACTTCCCTTAGTGGGCATCAATCAATTGCAGGACATAAATGCTAATACCGCTTTGTCATTCATAAATCCTAGTTTGTGGCAGTAGACTTGACTAAACAGATTGGCGGTGGATGCGGTGGCAAGGAGTTGTCACATCAATCATGTCAATAGATTTAATTACAAGATTTCTTGCCAAATTCTTTCCTCGGCTCGTCTCTGCTCGCCGAAGCTCTTGCATGAGGGTTCAGCCATACGGTTCGCGTTCATGGGTTCGGCCAAGTGAGTTCGCATACGTGGGTTCGGTTTGTGGACGCATAACAAATATCATTTTCCATTTTTTTCGCGGTTGTTACATTCATGAAAAAAAAAATTGTAAGGAAAATTTCCTAATTGCCTAAATTATTCCAAATTCAACCACAACAAGACAATTAATTACGGTTTATTAAATGAGAGGAAAGGCACCTAATTACGAATTTATCTGTATAATTAACCTTAAATAGTGTTTCAATTATGTTGTTACCTAAATTATGGTTGCATTAAATTTAATCTCATCCACTCTCATTACTGCAAATTTTTCCCCAGATATACATTTACTACTCAAAATCAATATATTGCATTTATAAGTTAGGCAACCTTCACTATTGTTGCAGAGTCGCCCTATAAATTCGAGAATAGGTTTCGTTTTGGCCACAACAACCATAAAACTAGGTTTCTTCCTTGTCTCTTTACTTTTACGGGAAAGCTTACACATTTTCGTTTGTCGAATGTTATACAGTTCGACTGAATTGAAGTAAGTTCTTATATATGATTGGTTATGTCTACTTTGATTTCTAATTGTATGCGAAGTTTTTTGATGTAGATCAATAAGCAAATTGTGTTCTTTCCAGTAGTGATTAATTTTTACTAAGAATAATTGATTAGTTAAGTCGAGAAAAAAAAAAATAGAAACTTATAAGGCGAAGCATACCATCCCTTTCAAATTTATTTTGCAATATTGGTCTATTTGTAGTAAGAAGCACGTCGAAAGAACAAAATTTATATTTATTTTTCATAAAACAACTAAAAAAGAAAAATAAAAAAAAAGGATGTCAAAACTTATTTCGTGAAATATAATAAAATGAATAATTTTTGTTTAGTTTTTCAAAAACTTGTTTTAAATAAATTAGAGAGATGAATCGATCTTCACGTTATGACAAGTATCTTTTATTATAGTTTGGTCGCTTTTAGATGTATGAATCGATCATCACGTGTCATTAGGCTAAATTAACTAGCATGACATGTATTGTTTAATTATTGTTTGGTCGGTGGTTAGATTGACGAATCAATCATCACGTGTCGTATGTTAGATTGACTAACATGACACGTATCATTTATTGTTGTCTGGTCAGCTGTCAGATTGATGTTACAATCATCACTTGTCGTTAGGCAATCTAGCATTACACGTATCATTTTATAACTGTTTGGTTGGTTGGCATATTGATGAATCAGCCATCACGTGTCTTTAGGCTAGATTGACTAGCATGACACATATCAATTATAATTGTTTGGTCACCTACAATATTGATGAATTAGTCATCACGTGTCGTTATGCTAGATTGACTAGTACGACACGTATCATTTCATTGTTGTTTGATCGTTTGTCATATAAATGAATCGATCATCACGTGTCATTAGATTGGATTAAGTAGCATTTCACGTATTATTTATCATTATTTTGTAGATTGTTAGATTGATGAATCGATAATCAAGTATCGTTAGACTAAATTTACTAGCACGACATTTATTATTGTATTTACACACTTAAATACATCAGTTAAGTATGGTGAAAGACCTTAATTTTGTCAAGTAAAAGAATATAAGGCTGTCATTTATTTCCCGTGGACAAAAAATATTAAAACTAGCTGCTTAAGTTGCGGTGATGGAGGGTAAACAAGTAAAATAGTGGAATTCGGTCGGAATGAAATTCAAATTTAGACGAAATGCAAATTCAACCCAAATAAATATCAAATTCACGCGTCTTAGTCTCGGTGATGTAGCGTTGTGGTAGTCGTGAAAATCGTGTAATGAACTTACCAGTCATCGTCCTCGACGTAGAGAGAAAATTATTACTTTTTAGATAGAGAAAATACTGCCATTATATACACACAGAAACAGTGAACCCTCGCAAAAGCTCTTTTCGCACCCAATGGTAAGGTCACACTGAAGAAGTCTTTTGTTTTTTTTGTTTTTCAATAATTTTTTTACTTGTTCATTAACCTGCATGTTCATCTTTATTTGTTGTTATTCAGGATCATTGATTGCGTTTGAAGTTAAATTATTTCAATTTCTACAATCATGATTTTATGTATAATTTTGAATCTTGAAATGAGGGTTTTCGGTATGATGTACAGATGAGTCTGAACTGAAAGCGAAAGGATAGTTAATTTATAGAAAAACGAAGTGTTCGTTAATAATTTAAAATTTTCAAGTCAAATGGGTGGTGATATTGAGGAAGCTAGTGGTTTTAATGTACCAAGAGTTCAGTCATCGGGTGGGGCATCATCATCTTCACTCCTTAAGCAATCCCCCTTTTCAGTGAATCAACTTGATGTGTCTTTGTTAAATACTCCAAAATTTCGCAGTCAGATGCGACAATGTTCCCCTAATATGAGTGTGGACAATAGTGTTAAAAGAGTTGGCATTCCGCCCTCTTATCCACAGATGCCGCCTATTTCGCCTCACTCGCAAGTTCAGGTTAACCGCGCTGCGAATCAGCAAATGGGCATGCAGAATTTTAGTCCTAGTGCAGGGCCATCACACTCGCGTTCTTTATCACAACCGTCATTCTTTTTGCTTGATTCGTTGCCACCCTTAAGTCCTTCACCTTATCGAGAGTCACCTGCTACTACACTTTCTGACCAAGTGTCTGCTGATGTATCAATGGAGGAGAGGGATGGGAACTTGCATTCGTTGTTGCCGCCTTCACCTTTCACAAGGAGTGGTTCGTTGAGGGGCGGTGAGGGTCTTCCTCCGAGTAAGGCACATAGAAGGTCTAATAGTGATAACACTTTTGGGATTTCTACCATGATGCAGTCGCCACCACTTATTCCTCCGAGGAGCCCTGGTGCTTTGGAGAGGTTGAGAGAGAATTCAGGGGCTAAACCAGTGCAGTTGGTTAAACGGGAGTCGAGCTGGGAGAAAGGTGGTGGGAGCAATGCTGAAGGAATGGGGGAGAAGAAATCTGAAGGGGAAAATGTGGATGATCTGTTTTCTGCTTACTTGAATTTGGACAACATCGATGCCTTTAACTCTTCTGGTACTGATGAGAAGCTGGGAAATGAAAATTGGGAAGATAGTAGAGCTAGTTGTACAAAGACAAATGATAGCAGTGATAATGAAGCCACTAGTAGTGTCAATGAAAGCGGCAACAAGATTCAGAGACCAAGGGAAGGGATCAAAAGAAATGCCAGGGGTGAGATTGCTCCAACCACCAGACACTACAGAAGTGTCTCTATGGATAGTTTTATGGGAAATATGAGCTTTGACGAGTCACCAAAGTTGTCACCTTCCCCAGGAACGAGCACAGCTCAACTTTCACCGACCAATTCGATTGATGGAAATTCAAACCCCTTTAGCTTGGAGATTGGTAATGGTGAGTTTAGTGGGGTTGAACTCAAGAAGATTATGGCAAATGAGAAACTTGCAGAGATAGCAATAAGTGATCCCAAACGGGCCAAAAGGTAGTTATCCTTCAATTCTCCATTGAATTTAAGCAGTTTTTATTCTCTATTTTTCCTGTTAATATATGGTGTGACTTAATGATACATACTGCTTAATAAGTCCATCTGTATTGTCTTAGGATCTTGGCCAATCGTCAATCTGCTGCTCGTTCAAAAGAGCGAAAGATGAGATATATAGCGGAATTGGAACAGAAGGTCCAAACTTTGCAGACTGAAGCCACCACATTGTCTGCACAACTTACTGTCCTTCAGGTTAGTCGCTGCTGAGAATGCTAATATTTATTTACTCCTTTCAATAGTCCATTTTGGCGTTGTGAATTTCTGACAATATTTTATTTTGCTTTCAGCGTGACTCTGCTGGACTGACAAACACAAACAATGAGCTGAAGTTTCGTCTCCAAGCCATGCAGCGACAGGCACAACTTCGGGATGGTATGATTATGATTCTCTATCATGGATAATGTACGTTGGACAATTATTCTGCTATTAATGTGGCATAAGCTTTTTTCTTCCCTTTTCTTACTAATGTTGGAGAACCGCATTCCCTAGACTATCCTAAGAAAAGAGATGAAGGAAGAATTTAATAAAATTTTTATATGGGGTTATCTGCTTTCTCTTCTAAGTTGTGTAATTGTAGATGGACAGCTATTATTCTTTAACTATGTAATAGGAGTTGGTCCCATAAATCAGTAATAAACTTTGACTACATTGAACTACCATAAAATTCTATTCTGACAGAATATAAGGGTGTGTTTTTATCTAAGAAACATGTAACTTTACTGTTGGATGTGTTCTGTCTGATGTATATCATTAGATGAGCTAAGTAGGGTGCCTTGTTGTGAGTAGATCCTGTTGCACCGAAGCATTCACCTTCAGATTTCCTTTATCACTTCCTATCAGGTACCCGTCCACACAGATGGGTCCAGTTTTCATATATTCATTTGGAAATCGTCGGAATAAGGGATACCAATGTACAGCAGATGAATATGAACCATCAAAATGGCAAATAGTATACATCCATGATCACCCCCACGTGTAACCTCTGTCCAGACAAGCAACACTCATAAAAATGGAACCTCTTCTTTCGCCCAAGATCATATGCAGAACGTAATCACTCTTTTTGCTACTTCAATTTACTACCATTAAGTGTAGTTGCTTCCTTCAATTTCCTACATTAATCATCTTTGTAAGCAGACTCCAACTATAGCCACCCCACCTATTCAGACATGCATGCTCCCTCCTTGGATATCTTATGGTTAATACACTTAAATTTTATTCGTGCAATATTGAGATTGATCTTAATTATTTTATGATTTTACTTAGCTTTACTTGCTCACTGGAATTTAAACTTAAAAAGTTTTCTAAATCTACTGGACTGCCTGCTTCAGGTCTTGATCCCTCTTTATTTGTTGCGCACCTGTGTTGGTTGGGGCTGTGGGTAAAATGCTCATCTGATTTGTTACTATATATTTCGATGCCATCAAGTTTCTGCAGTTGCTAAGTGGCGGAATTTAACAGTTTTTTCTTTTTATGCCAGCTTTAAATGAAGCATTAACAGGGGAGATACAACGTTTGAAGATTGCTACTGCTGAACTGAGTGGAGATCCGTACAAATTCCAGCAGCTTTCACTTAACCCCTCGATGTTCCAATCACGTCAGCAGCAGCAACAGAATGGGAATACATCTAAAAAAAATTAATCGAAGCAATAGCTTTTACTGGTGCCTTGGAGCCGAAAGCGTTTGATCCCATTCCGTTTACCGTTTTAGTATTCTTCGTATTCAGTAGATTTTGCCAAAAACACACATTTATTAGTTTCGTATGTTCAATGTAACACATTGACATGTGGAGTCTACATATGCTGCCTTGTTTTGCATTTTCATCCCAACCCCCCTTTTTTTTTTTTTTTTTTTTTTTTTTTTTTTTTTTTTTATGATCATGGGTATCCGGGCCAACTTTCGCACACCTCGACTAATCCAACGGGGCTCTGATGTTTATAGTTGGGTACTCACCTCAATGGCTCTGAAGAGACTTGAATTGATGACCATTGGAGAACAAATTCAAGACTTGACCATTGAGCTACCCTTCAAGATTTTATCCCAACTACAGTCCTTTACACCTATCACCTCTCTTATTTTCAAGCATATTTATTTCCCAGTAATGATATCGTATCTATTGACCTTGTTTTGTCAATGTAATTGGAGAGAACTATTGTGAGTTGTTTGTTAACGTAGATTTTACATTGTACAGAACTGTTTAATGTTATGTGACAAACATTTCTAAGTATTAATCGATATTTTTTGAGTATTCTCTTATGTGGGTGGTTGAAGTTGTTTGATATAGGACTATGGGCTCGGTTGACGAAATTTTTGCTGTTGTTTTTAATTTTTATTTTTTGAAGAGCTTGGAAAAATTGTTTACTTCTGAAAAAGTTAACCAAATATGTTCAGAAAAATTGAAAGTTCCATGTGTTAACGTAAATGAATTAAAATCAATAATAAATCCCACTTTTCAATTCTTAACCTCAACCATTACGTAGCCGTCCTTTTCTCTCTCTTCAATTCTTAACCTTATCACCTAGAAAATAAAATATTTTCCATCTTTCGTAGAAAATAAAAATCACTTCTATCTAAGAAAAATATTTTCTTTAAAAACAAGGAAAATTAGGCATATTTTCGAAAGTTGGAAAATATTTTTCATGGAAAAAAATAGCAATCAAACACTCTAAGTAGGAATTTGGGTGAAAAACTGATATTTTTCATGGAAAATAAATGTAATCAAACACAAATAGCCGGAACAATTGATTCAAGTCATGAGTATTAGGATAATATTGAGTTCATTCAAAATTATACATATAAATTACTCATTATTACCACCTTAGTAAAAATAATTTACAAATTAAATTGGGTATTGTTATTTCCATCGACAATTTTTATATATTTATCCTTCATTTCTATTAAACTTTTAAATTTTATAAAAAGTGATATATTCATCCACGTTTATTCCAATATTAACCTTATTAAATTCATTTATTTAAATATTATATATCCAAGTTACTTGTATTTATTCATCCCAATTTAAATCTATTCATATCATAATTATAAAAATCACTAAATGTATCCCCAACACTTCAACCTTGTCTTAATCATTCGAATCCCATTAACAAAGTAATATATTCATTTCTTTATTTCTTCCACCTCTTTTTTCAATCAAGAACATCGAGATTGAAATCCCAGAATCCATAATTTTGTACATTCCAAATCAAACTCTAAATTCATAAAACGCTGACAATGATTACCAAAGGAGCCAAATTCCTGCTAAATCTATAAATAAATAAAATAAAAATAAAAATAAAAAATATGAGAGTAAGGAAAATGTTCGTGGTTCATTTTTAACTTTTTGACGAGAAAGTTACGACGTTCGACTTTCCACACAACACTACACACGCAGGGGCAGACCTACGTGAGGGTCCGGTGATCCCACAAACTTTTTTCCCCCAAAATTCTGTAAATGTTCTAACTCTAGCAAAATGCTACTGATCATTGTATCTGAATTACTTCATTTCAGATAATAACTCATTCTCAGCAGCACAGATTGCGTCATTATTTAATTGCTTGAATGTTTGTACTGTTGAGATTCCTACTAAAATAAAAAATAAATAAAACAGTAGACACAAATTCTATATCTTAATGCTTTCTGATTTTCTTTGTTGATTGTTCCAAACGCCCCATAGAAGTGGGAACCTCCCTTTGATCATTTTGGTTCTAGTCGCTGGTTGTAGGTAAATATATGAATTTAAAGTGATAGAATTTACTTAAAATATATAAAATTTTAGAAGTAGATAGATATATAAAAATTGTGGTTGAAAATAGTAGCTCCCAATTAAAATAGGTGCAATTGGATACCGTTTAACTTAGACGCGTCTGATGACAACAAGAAACAAACTAAGAAATCAACAATTTTTTAGAGTGAGCTAAATGAATTCTGCTGTGTTATTTTCCTTTAGCCATTGTTTGAGCCCCGTTTTTACCAAATAATGAATATTTGAATAGTGTATTGAAGAAATGTGTGGTTAAAAAATATAGAAAAAATTATTCGAATGGCCAATTCAAATACAAGAAGATGTAAACTTTTGTTCTTTGCTTATTTATTGAATACAACTAGTCTCTCTACCTCGTTCTTTTCTAATGAAGGAAAAAAAAATTATGGTACTTTCAAAGCAAGGAGAACTCATCGATCACTATTGGAATGATATGTGTATTATTTATTTATATTTAACGGAATACTAGAAATATCGGCACAAAAAATAGATAAAAAGAATAATGTTATTTTTATTTAACGGAGATATTTTCAATTTATGTGGTGGGAACATCATTTTCACATTATTCAATGATAAAAATGCATATGGCAATATGGCAGTGGCCCAATGTCAAATAAATCGAAAATCATATTTTTGACCCATATTATCTAAAAATTCATTTTTAATCATGTATTTTTTAAGGGCCTGTTTGATTCATGAAATTTTTCATTTTCCACCTTTTTAGTTGTTTAATTGCACTTTTTCTTGGCAATTCATTTTCCTCCCCCTCCCCCCACGTCACCTTTTCCCTTATTTTTGTGGAAAACTAATTCCCATGAATTAGGTGGGAATTGATTTTTCCAGCTATTTTTTCAAAAAAAAAAAAAAAGGACAATTGAAACAAATTCTATTCTTTTAATTGACATTTTTTATGGAAAACAAAGCTAAACGAATATCAAAGGATCTAAAATTTCAATATTTTTTAGATGAAAAATTATACTAATTAAACACATTTAATTGACGATTTTCAATAAAATAAGTTTTAGGCAATTTAATTCCCAAGAATTCGTTTTCTTTTCACCCAAATTCCATTCTTACAATTAAACAGACCCTAATAAAATAAATTTATACATATATTTATAATTTCTTTCTACTTTTAACCACACATTTTTTCAAAAAACCAATATTACAAAATTCATTTTTTAAAAAAAATATAGGCTCTAACACACTTGTGTAAGAATTCTTTAAAATTCGTTAAAAATAAATAGGTGACATAAATTGAAACTTTTGGAAATTACCAGTGTTTTAAAAATCATATTGGAATTTACACCCAACCAAATTTTTTAAGATTCAATTACAAAATCAAATCTTAAATTTGTTTATACAAAAATCATATATTAATATATTATTTAATATCCTCTATCTCCTTTCTTAAATTATAACCACCCAAACCCTCAAAATCACAAAACCACAAATCACATCCCACTTTCTTCCTTCTCTCTCTCCGATGGCTTCGGTGACTCTAACAGTACCACCAGGCGCACTGTTACACACAACATGGCGCAACGACACCCCACAATGAGAGAATCAACGTTGGTTCATCAGGTATAGAACCACTGGAGCATCGCCACTATAGCATCCACCCCTTTTCTCTCTTTATCACATGAAAGGGTGAGGCCTAACTGGAGTCAGACATTTTCTAGTCTTAGCATCCACAACTTCGATCGAGTAAGGAAGCATGAAGAGCCCCTACCTAAGTTATAGCAATAGTGCGATCGTTGAAGACCACCGCAAAAGACCATTGTGTAGATTCATTCTTTTTCTTCCTTTTTTTAAATTTTTTTTTAAGCAATGCCGTGATTGACGGTTCGGTGGTGGTACTGCGATGCGATGGTGGTGATGGTGTGTTGGTTTTACGATTGTAGTGATTGTATTGCTATGTGCAGTTGGTGCGGTGTTGGGTGCGGTTCTATGGGAGTGCTGTGGTGTATGTGGTAGTTGGGTGTCATGGTGGTGCGATGCTATGTGTTGTGAGTACGGTGGTGTTGAGACGTTGTGGTGGCTCTTGCGGTGGTATCGTGTTTTCTATAGTGGTGATGTAGTTGTTTTGGTGGGTTGTGTGTTTTTGATGCGGTGGTGATATTGGTGGTCTGGTAGGGTAGTAGTGGTTGTGGCGGTGGTGATGTGGCTCCTATGGTGGCTTTAGATGGTGTTGTGGTTGCTGTGATGGTGATGTTGGTGGTTTGATGTGGTGGTAGTAGGGATGTAAACGAGTCGAGTCGAGCCGGTTCGCGAGCCGAAATTTTGGGCTCGGGCTCGCCTCGAGTAAAATGTAGCGGGTTTTTTTTGGGCCCGAGCCGAGCCGAGCCAAGGCTCAGTTGTGTAGAAAGTAAAGAAATTGTTTAATGATATTTTTTTGAAAGAATTTAAAAATTGTATCATTTATTATTTATACAAATTACAAATTAAATAAAAGTACAACTTTCAAAATTATGTAATTTATACGAATAACAAAATAAATAAAAGTTACAAATTACAACCCTCCTTTTTTTCGGGCTTGGGACCGGCTACAATCAACGTAGGCGGAGTTAAAATTGTACACAAATAAAATATTTCGTGTACAATTTTCTTGAATCAAATAAATTTAAAAAATACATTTCTTAAAGAAAAATAATTAATTTAAAAACTTACAACAGCCTATGTTTGGATATGCTGCAACTCTTCGGTTATTATACTATCAACATGTTCTTGAATACGTAATTCTGCACATTCCCAATCCTTCAAGCATATCAAAACCTCCAATATATCTTCTTTTAGTCTTGATCGTTCATCTGATAAAATTCGACCACCTAAACTGAATGCAGCTTCCGATGCTACCGTAGACACCGGAGGTGTTAGTAGATCACATGTAATTTTTGATACAATTGGATATTGCTTTTCGTTACATCTCCATCAATTTAAAAGACTAAATTCTTGTAATTCGTTCGGTTGCAACACACTACGAACATCCACGCACATGTACCAAGGAATTTCAAGATTTGTACCACCAATATCGATCGCTCTAGATGTTGATGAGCTAGAACTAGAGCTAAATGAAAGAACACCTGTATTACTATCTAAATAATTCCATAAATTTTCGGGATTTGTTGAAATATTTCTTGAAAAAGAACTTTGGGAAGTAGAACTACGCTAACCTTCCTTTTCAACATAATAATTATACCTTTCACATAAAAAAGATTCTATATGCACGTGTGATAATTCTATATTCAAAAAATCTGATATCCCCTTTACAATAGTTTTTGTGCCAGTTAAATTAAGTCGAGGGTCCATTACTGAAACTAAAAGAAATAAAGAAGGCAACTCTTCCCAATATTTACAAAATTTTAACTCCATAGAGCAGACTACATCAACAAAAAGTGGCAAATTTCTATATTTATGAAATGCTTGTGAAATGTAAAAAAATGTTATAAAATAAGAGAAGATGTAAGGTAATAAACATTGCTACATTCTTTTGTA